TTGTAGGACTTCCACGGAGAATTAGCAGATGATGGAGAATTCGAGATTGTTTTTGTGTCGTTCGATCGAAGCGAATCCGACTTGAAGGCATACATGGAAGAAGCCCATGGCGATTGGTACTGCCTTCCTTTTGGTTCGCCAAAAATACAGTAAGCTGAGGGATAATTCAGGAATTCTCACATAGAACTGGGATTTTCAGAGAGCTTGCCACGAAGTACGGAGTGAGCGGAATCCCAGCCTTAATTATCATCAAAGCCGATGGCAAAGAAGTCACAAAGAATGGAAGAGGCGATGTTACGGTACGTTTTAGTAGTTTTTGTTTTATAGTTTGATTTTTGTCGTAGAATTGCTCAAGAAAGTCTTCAAAATTGGCGTTTTCAGAGCAAAAATCCGAAAGCTGCGCTGTCAGCATGGAAATCTGCTTGAAACCTTCTTTCACTCAAAAATTGTAATTGTTGCTACATACTTCTACATATATGTCTGTTTTAATGCCATTTTCTAACTTGTAATGTAACTTATGATCAATAAAGACTCAGTCTCATTAGCGGTTCAGTCGAGATCAGGCATGATGAAAAAAACAGAGTGCGAGTAATCAGATACTACACAGTTTGTACATAAATCATTGGCATGTAGAAAAATTATAAATCGATGAGTGAGCGTGCCACGCAGGAAACTCGAAAAACTTGAATTGATCATCGTGCAAACTTTGCAGAGCGCCTTCAACGTGAGAAACGATACAAACGTGCCATGATGTGCCTAGGGAAATGTATTTTTAGGCGATTCAGATAACATTTGTTTATCTCCAAAAGGTGGGACACCTCTGCGAGAAAGAAAAGAGACGCTGTAGAATAGACAGTTCAGATATTGATGGAAGTAGTGAAGGACTAACAGTAAATAAGGGTGAAGGTTTTAGACTCATATCCAGAACTCCTGGCGAGCGCTTAGAATGCACTGTTGACATTTTTGGGATTGTCTTCAGCAATGCACTTTTGTACGTCTACATCATCCAATTGCCGTCAATTTTGCAGCAATCAAGCTGATGCAGAACGAAAGGCGAAAGAGTAGCTTGAAAAATGTCAAATTTGTGCCACTCAAGGTTCCCTGAAGTTATCAAAAACATTTATTTTGTGTTCCTTCTTCATAATTTTTCCTGGAAAGGACGAAACTTCGTAAATTTTTGCTATCATGTGCTTACTAATAACGCTATCAAAATCTGATAACTTGGAGTGGTGCCAAGCATAGGTATCGTCGATTCGTAACGCAAAAAGACTGGGTGCC